TCATTGTTTTCATTAATAACTTATGATAGATTAAAGGGGACGTATATCCGAACGGGATTTAATCACTGAAATGAATATTCTTCTATGCACAACAAACCTTACGGTTAACCGTCTGTTCCTTGTCTACTGCTACTGGGAAAAAGATGGAATAACGATATTTTTCATAAATGTGTGGAAACAATATTATTTGAATATCTGAGTATAGGCAAGTGATTGCTCATTTATGGTCATTTGATGGAATAACGTTTCAGACCTCCGTGATTCGTCGTGTGTGTATGGAATTTATTTGGTGAAAGTCTAAGTCATAATCTTGTGCTGAATTCAGTGTGCACTCCCTCAAAACATTAAATAACTTCCCGGAATTGTCTGGTCATTTTAGATTTTCGAAAATGAAGGAAGGCATGTCACAGTTGTATTGGAACTGTTTTCAGCATATAAATTTCATGGACAACTTTATTCCGAAAAGGGCTTTCGGGGTCATTTTGACCAGAACAGTGGTTGAAACATTTTAATTCCTGAGTCTAGCGGAAAGTTTTACTTTCCCTCAAAAATGTTATGCAATATTGCTACTAAATAGCCAGCTGTGGGAAGGACGACCAGTTTCAGACAGAAACTTTGGTGATTTTCAGCCGTACACCTAACAGCCTAATATAACAGACAACATATTCAGAGGGTTGAGGAACAATCACCACCTAGGTCAGCAAGTCGACAGCATTCAACAGGATACGCGATCAACACTCGTGCTGTGACAAGCAGAACTACTCGAAACTTCAAGATCAAACTTCAATAATGCTAAATAAATAAAAATGTAATGTTTGTTATTACAATAAACAAATGCATGTAGACAAGACGATAAATATGACGCAACTCCAAATATTTGTAGGCAGTTTAAACTATCAGATCTCTAACATTCAACTTATGAACAGCTTGTACAAAAACATTTAGATTTGATTTATGTTTAGGATTACCATCAGTTTAAACTGTGAGCTTTCATGATAAAACGGAATTGTTCAGAATACGAGAGTTATTTAAATATCTAGCAGGGAAAACAAATAAGCCAAAAATGAAAATATTTTACTCGCAAGTCACTGAAGATGGGGTACGAACCAGAAGGTAATCCAATACGTGTGCCAATGAGAATGCAATTTTGACCCGCATCAGGATGTTATGTGTCATTTCGAAACGCCTCAATGACTAGCGTGCCACACTAATGAATAGTGACGGCATGTTTGACATCCGAATGGATTTGGAGGGTACAAAACTGGCGACATTTGTCAGAGTTTCACTTGTGACTGTGAATAGAGCACCGCATGGTGAATTCCTATATTCATTTATAAGTTCTAAACGATAATCCCGTAATGTTGGTTTGCTACCCAAAGAAAATTTCGAATAAAATATGCTCATGGAAACTGATTTGATTTTTCCAAACTGACATATTTTATCACATTGAAAATGCAAGTAAAAATGCGTTTTTAAATAAATAAATAAATAACTGGCAGGGCTGATCTTCTCCAGCTAAGCAACCTTATCAAAAGATCAACTAAGCCCAACTAGTCTCCCATTCCATTTACTTTCTATCTTTCCGCTGCGACTGCACATACCTTGGTAGGACCGACTGGTCACTGCGAACTAGAATGAGTGAATACAGTTCTATGTTTGTGCGTGAATCAGTGACACAGATCCACATATCCTGACTGCGCGACGAGGACCAACCTCGACCATTGCATGCCCTTCAATTCAAACTGGTCTTGGGGTAAACTCTGCGCGAGCACTCTCACTTTTGTTATATCATCGCTACTATCATCAATTAAAGATGCTCGAGTCATTATCGATCGCTCGTAAGAAATTCACTTAGTGTCCAAAAGCGTACGCCCTTCACCCATGACCTAAACTGGCTGTAAAATTTGTGCAACCACAAGCATAAACCACAGAAGCTGACCAATTTTTTTAATTCATCTCACACTTTCGAACTTGTTAAATGTTATACGTACGTGACCGTCAGGAGCAAATAAAATGAATTTTTCTCCCCTTGTTTCCCTTTTGTCTCGACTGGTTGAGCTATGAGTTGTTTATATTTTGGAAAAGAACCTAGTGTAGGCTTAAGACTTAACATGAATTATAAAAGCCGATCTTTAGTGATATTATCATTTCTTAAGTGTCTATGGATGAGCAGTTCCTCTAGAAACAACAATGGTTGGATCACGCAAAGAGTGAAACGGTTGAGGAAACAATGATAAATGGAGACGATTTAAAAAGCAAGAACAGTTCAAGGTTTGGGGGCACCAGAATGCCTACGAAACGTTTTAAACAGTGGGCAATTTATGAAAGCCATAAATGTAGAAAGAAACACCCTGACTGGATAATCGTTCAATTCACCTTGTTGACCAAATACTCCGGACCGTTCACATTGATCGAAGAGTTTGTCAGATGAGAGTAAACGTTGCTCAAATTTCCAAGGTCAAAACGTTCGGTTGCAAAACGGACAAGGCCATCTGCATGGATGTAAACAATAAATGGCGCATAGGAAGGCACGACAGCATACAATCGTAGGTCGAATTTGTATCCGGAAATCAAAAGCGGATTCGTGATATATCGCTGAACGACAGATTTCGTGAGATATATTAAATCTTCCAATTTGTCAAACAGGAAAATTCCTTTTCCCCGAGATTGGTCAGCCGGTTTTAAGATCCAGATATTGGTGTACTCGTTCCCTGCATCTTCTGACGTTGTTGTTGATGACGATAACCAATGAGAATCTGTAAGTAGAATGCTTTTATCATCTTCTCCGCATTCATGATTAAAGGGCCGCTTTGCTGAAGACAGCTAGACAGAAATAACAGGAAAAGAAACAGAGTAAGCAACAAAACACATTATATCTAATGACGGAGAACAATATCCATTATGGACACTATGTGATATGATATCCGATGAATAATTTCAAATACTAAAAATACATCTATGAAGATTGCTGTGGTGCATGCACCCTACTGGTCATCTGACTCGAAAGGCGCGATATATAGCTAGTTTTGGCATATTCCGTGATGAAGAATTCATTCATTTTGTATTAGGTTACAATTATTGTAACTTGAAAGCACTGAATGGATCCAAAATCTCTATGACCAGCAAATGAGTAAAAGATAAAATAAAAGCAGCGAGTTACGTTTGAACAAAACTTGCAGTCGAAATCGTGAATCGTTTGGATCAATTTCGTACAAACACCGATAGTTTAGAGGATCTCAATCGTTGGTGACTGGCAGTAAAGCAATGGGGTGTTTCTCATCAGAATGACGGTGACGTCAATCACTATATAAAATGATCCAAGCTTTTGTATTTATCAAATGGATTACATGATTTAGGTTTTTAAGTTTGCTTGATCTAAATTATTTCATTTCATCGGATTTACAAACATAATAACCCTGTGTCCACGGTCTAACTAATGAAGTATCTGACAGATAGCCCGTCATAGTGTGCACCAAATACTTTAGTAATACACATATGTCCACTCGAGCATCACTTCCTCCAAATCTAAGGTTTTCTCGAGCGAGTCAAACACATTGTCACACTGTATTGATCAGAAAGTAAGCAGGAAGTACTTATTTGCCATGGAATACCATTTCAACAAACAAATTATTTGATCTCGGGTTGTGAACAGTGAAAACAAATAAACTATCTGTTTGCTGAGGCAGTGAACGCATAATCACTTCAACACAGTGACAACAGTTCAAAAGAGCTAATCAGTGTGAAGAGGTTTTTGTCAATAAGCTTTGATTACATCTCTTAGGATTAGTGTAAATGAGATTATATTTAAAATTATAAGATACTTAGTTGAATAATTACTTTGCTTTGTACTGTTCATCAGTTGCCAGTTGTATGATATTGTTCTTTCATCAACCTATTGACCCCAGATAAAACGTTGCGGTACAACAGGATTGTCTCGGAGTACTCATTAAAGCAGGGTTGCGGTTCATGTTTCTTATGTCACATCCTTAAACGTAGTGATTTAACATTGATTTATTCACTGGATCCAAAATAAAACAAAAGTGCGTTTTTGTTCGTGATAAGTTGAGTAAAGGTTGTGGTTTCATCGCAGAACCTGAATTATTGCCTGATACAGAAATATGCTAGATTTGGATTGTCGCGAATACAAATAAGGTCCACGCATCTGGTGTGAGCCTTACACAAAGTTTAGTGAATCTCACGGAACGATTCTGCCTATTAGTGGATAAAGGCAAATCGCGATTAAATTTTTATTTTATTTTGTTTGTGATTTATTAGTGAATGATGATTCCTACATCAAGTTCACCGGGAAGGAGCGTTTACTCGATGCAACGACTCAGACATCCGGGCAAAAGTTCATTTAAGAGTGCATCAAATCGTACGGTTCAATGGACAACGCCAACAGAATTGAACGATACGAGCTATTCACGTTTGTTTAAAGTTGAGAAATACGTAAAAATGGTAGTACTTGAAAGACAATTGGACGAAATTTCTCATAGCTAAATTTTGTAACCTCTTGTAAAATGGAAAGTGAATTATACATGGAAGATTCCCATAAACAAGACATAATGTATGCAAAAAGCTTATTTCTCCAATTTTGTCTTGGGTTATTTATAATTGTGCTCTTATACAAGGTACAGGTAAACGTGACTGTTTCATGTTCACTCCTGCCTTATATAAAGATACCAATATAAATACCCAAAGACAAAGCTACGAAAATAAATCATATTTTTAGTGATTCATGTCGTCATCCCTAATTTTTATTCTTTATTATTTATTGTACTTTTTTAGTTGGTTATATATATGACATAAATAAACGGTAGTGGTAATGCAAACATGATCACCAACATTTCCTCTGAAAATTGCGTCTATGATTCCTTCTGGCTCCGTTATATCACTCCATCTCAATGTCAAATAATAATATTTACCATTGGTTATTTGAAAATAATTATACAATTATGCGTCTAACAGAAGGGAGTAGTAGTATAAAAACTGAGTTCAAATGACCCCCAAAATGTTTCAGTTTTATTTTAAGGCTTCGAACCGGATTATCCCCCTTTCGTTTCGCTCTGTCCGCCCCACTCAAAAACAATAATGTTAATATTACTTCTCACCAATGTTTAAATATTTCAAGCAGATGCAGTTTTAACAATCTTTCAGTGTTGCCTCACTAATTCTATGGAGCGATGAGAATATCGTCTACTCACGAGATATTTCGACCGGCTTGATAATCCACACAACAATGAAATTGACGGAATTCCCCTTAGGCGATAAATTTCAGACATTTGCTATCCTCTTGTAGGTTTCGTGAAATCTGGTATAGGTTAGTTCTAAGTGTAGTTTTTGCCCGGTCCAAACTTAACTGGAAGTGTGACAAAAAGCGGAAGAAGTAATCGTTTAATGGCTGCGGACCTTTGTGATTAATGGTTTCCAGTCGTGAGACTGTAGATAAGAATCACTGGTCATTGGTATTGTTAGCATATAGTAGGACCGTTTGTGAGGTCTACGCGCACTCGTTTTTCATTGATGTCAGACAGATCGGAGTTTATTAACTTTTCTCGAAATTAATTCTGAGACTTAAAGATCCCTCTTCATTGCAAAACGAAATAATGCTTCCACTCACCTTCTTTTTGATATTCCGAGCGGTTTGTTTGAATGTGGCGACAAACTGCCCCTCTTCTCTGAAACAGTGAGCGAAGCGTATGTCAAAACATTAAGCCGCATTAGGAATTATTCATTCACTTCAATTGAAAACGACTGTAGATAACGTATAGCGATGCTAGTCATTGACATTTTTTCAAATACTTGCTCTGAGCTTTGAAGACTGAAAAAGAATCGCAGAACGAATGAATTTTAATCTTTGATCTGTTATTTTTATCTGGTGTAATGCTAAAAAATGTGGAAAATATATTCGGTTGAGTGTCTTTATGTTTACTAACTTCCAGGGAAATATTTAGTTCACCTTTTTAACCGTCGGAACATTTTTCTCACTGTGAACGGATCCGGTCTACGCTGGGAACACAAGAGCGTTCTGCATTGGGTAACAATAGACCTATTTCCTACGTGCTGAACATAAGCTTGGAACAGTAACCGCTTGTGGCATGTTTTGTTCATGGAGAAACATAACGACGCCAGGAAAGATACTAGTTACGAGAATTCTGCCTACTGACTTTGGATTAAATAAACTAACTGGTGAGGAACAACATTGGGAACACAAACGGAATCATTTGAGACTTTTAAGTGAAACTGGAAAAAACAATCACATAGATTACGGAAAGAGTACTGGTGTGAGACAGAAATATTTACATTTACAGTTGAATGTAATGATCAGCGAAAGAAAATTGAAACAGTCATATATTTTGATGTTTCAGGGTTTCAACTGTCTTTTGAAATAAACAGAAATTTTAATACAAAGCGGGCAATACTGAATGAGAAATAAGGAATATAGATGAATGAAGACAGGAGTTCACGCTTCCATAAGCGACAAAGAGAATGACAAAACATTCACTTTATACAAAGGAAGCGTCTCAAAACTATAAATTGAAAATCACTTCTTCTGCGTAAGAATATTTATGTTTTGAGAAATTCTTTTTCTAATAACCAAACGTTTTATTTTCTTTGCACCAATGGTTCTTTTATTATCCATCCATCTTCTTTCTTGTTTATTATGCACTCATTATTGATATAATAGAAGGTAAAAGAACTCATATTTTGTTAAGGAATACGGTTTTACTTATTGAAATCTTTAATTTTTTGCTCGTTCGTGAAATAATTTGCTGGAATATTTGGAGAGTGTCATCCAATCAAAGCATCCAATTCATTGAGGTTACAGGTACTTCGCCGTGGAATAGAACATTTAATCATGATTCGTCGGCTCCCTTCAGAAAAAAGACCGTTTTATTTGTTTCAGAGAGTTTGTGTGATTAAAAGTTAATTTCAATGTTAACTCACAGTCCTCAATGTGGAATGCATTGCTCAAGCAACATCCTGGTTGTTTCATCGATACTTCAAACTGTTTACATCCCAATGACCTTTACTTTTAATTTTGGTCAGTTACGTTCAACTTTCTTTTAAACGGATCAAGTTCACCACTTACTTCTCTTTTTTGACTGATCCCAATCAATTCGCTCTGTTTTCATGTCTGCTTTTTGCCCATCTCAGTCTGGTCTTTTATGACTTTGTTTTTGGTTATGTAAACACGGTGCGTTCTTTCTCGGGTCGGTTGGGTACAGATGGGAAAGTGCAAACTGCATTCGTTTTTCATTTTCCAGTGTCCACGTTAAATTGATATTCAAGTCTGAAGTTGATTGATTGAGCTAATAGACAAATTGCTGTCGCCTGTCACAAGCGGCGGCGGTGACATAATACTTGGATTGAAAAGAATGGTTGTTTAAAAACGGGCAGCCATTTTCATAGTGAGGTATCACAACCTGAATCGCTCATGTTTTGGCTTCCCCACTGGATTACTTTTTATTCCTTATGATATGCTTTCTCTGTATCCTCATATAGTCGCAAATATGTCTCTGTGATAGAAGAGATCGCTAAATGCAGTAGTAGACCCCATCTACTTAAAATGCGTTCCTGCTCACGTGGAAAGGAAGACTGATTTTTACCGCATAATAATCGTTTAACCTATCAGAAAGTAATTACCCAAAACGCTGTGGTTAAGAATTAAGACTTTTTCATGACAGTGTTGTGTGAATCAGATATGATTAGTTCTATTATCAAAATGAATAACTGGTTTAATGTTATGTAATGAATTCGTCGTGTAATTGAGGCGTCAGCTGATCAGCTAGGAATCACTGTGCAGCTGTTTCGGCCTAGTTGGGTCTCATCAGCAGTGCAAATCCATCGACACTATTGGGGATCGAACCCGGAATCTCACAGACAAAATGTAAGCATACTACCAACTCAGCCACCGGGCAGCTGACTGGACCGTTTTTCATTTTCCATTTACTCGATATAACACAATTCATCTATGCCCACATTCTATCTGTGAGGCCCACGGTTCAATCCCCTTTTGGGTAGATCGGACCGCATTACTAATAAAACCCAACAAGGTCGAAATGGCTATCCAGTGCTTCCCAGATTTTCAGCTCAAGCCTCATTTACACGATGAATTAATCATATTAACAAATCAAATTCCTGATTACTCCCATACAGTTTAAAATTACATAGTGAATGAATGAACAACTTTTTTCTGGATGAGCGCAGCCAGTTCCTACCACCAGCCAAATGTGTATCTGCCGTCGTTACCCAAATGTGCTTTGGTTTCCAAAGCGGGGCAAAATTGAAGAGTTATTCTATGGACACCGTTCTATGAGTAATCTGGTTGACACATACCGATGTCTAAATCACGTTTTGATTACTTCTAGATTGTACAGAAAGCTTCAGCATTTTTAAGGAATCAGTGGTTGTCGGTTTGACCAAGGGAATTGTATTTTGTCATATTTGAATTGCGAACTGAACTTTCCGTTTTGCGGTTTAGTCGACATTGTGACACACGGGTGTACAGTTTGTAAAACAATCGGTGTTCTGTAGTAATGAGTCACTTCAGAAAATTCAACTGCGATTTAAATTGATTACCTAAGTTTGTTGTCCCGTAATTTCTGGGATTTCTGGGTTTATTTGAATTGTTTTTCACATGTTTTTCGAGCTGCACTGATAACAACTTGGAAAACAATTTTAGAACCCCGATAGAGTTTTCATTCCCAAATCGAGGAGCAAAAGGTTCTATTTCACAAAACAAAAAAGAAAATCATCCGCATAGGTGACTACATCAGTTTCGATATTCGGAAATACTAATTTAGGCAGAACGAGTAGAAAAGCAAACCACCGGATCACGAAGCACTTCAGAAATTGGTTTCAGTATCAGATGATGCGATCAAGCCCAATCGTATAGCTCAGAGATATGTGCAGGTTAAAAATACCACCTCCTTTGATAGCGAAACATGTGTTCGGAAAAGGTCGACGGGTCAACCGAATCACACACCTCAAAATGGTCTACGCAACAAAAAATCTGAAGCCGTTTAGTTGCTGTCCAGAAATGTTAATGAGTTTTTGAGAACTCCCATAGCTCACTGGCACAGTGAGGCCGAAAGGTAACGAGTGCGAAGTGGAAAGCTCAGAATTACTGTACAGCTGCTTTTACCCTGTCAGGTTAGAGCAGTAATGCAAATCCAGTCACTCAATCGAGCACTGACCCCGAAAAATCACCATAATATTCAGCTCCCCAACTTTTTCATTTTATCCACGCATAACCTAGCACAACTCTTATATGGAAGCTTGTTGAGGTATTCCACTTCGCTAAGCTCAGCCCAACATTCAAGTTTATGACCCATTCGGAAAAATTCTGAACCTGGCACAAATCAGTACCTAAAACCCGCTTCAAATTCAGATAAGTAAAGCTGATTTGATCCGCTAGATAAAAGGTCTCAAACAATTCCCACGAAGCGAGGTTTATCTAGGTCAAATTGTCCCTATTTTGGAATAAACGTTTGTATCCTACCTTTTTTATGCCATCCCAAACGTTGGCGGGAGAGAGTGTGAGCGCTGACTTCATCGAGAACATGCTTTGTCAAGGTAATGTTTCCCATCCAGAGTGACGAGATAACTCAAGAGGATAACTTAGGCAAGAAAAAAAAACATTTTTGCTCTCCTATGGTTTCTTATGATTCTGGAATTTGATGACAGATAAAATATGCTACACAAAAGAAATATAAAAGTATCGCCTAATCGATAGTATCTTGAATGGGATCATGCACATATCGGTGGCATTTTACCAGACATTAAGGATATTTTAGCAAGTATTTGAGAAGGAAGGAAGTTCGTTTTGATACCTTGGCAAGTGGTAGGTTGCCGGATACAGCAGAAGATTTGCGCATTTCGGATATGTGGCACACATGCGGCGAATCGCGCGCAATAACCCGTCTTTCTGGATAATGTCTGCTTGACGCCCCAGGGGAGCAGGATGGTGATTGACGCGTTGAGTTTCCTTCAGCTGCAGGATACGAAAAAATGCTGTATCATAATTTAATATATTCAAGGCAAATGTTTTATATGGAGCCAAATCGGAACTAATCTTGGGTTAGAATCTCCAGTTTCAGTGATTGGGTTAGGTTTCCTCGGCCGTTTTATCCTGCATAGATTACTTGATCGGTAGTGTCGAAGTATTTGTTCGGGCTTTAAACCCCGACCCGACAGATGACTGGGCACGTTTTGCTGCTTTAGTGTTCATTACCTCAGCAGTTCCATTGATATCCTCTTTGCATTTTATTATTGTGATACTCATAAATAATACGATTTAATTAAATGTTCAGCAGCTTTTAAAAGGACTATGGCATATTGACAGAAGACTAACTATTCTAAGAAGGCAATAATTTTTATAGCTTTGTTCCAAAATTAGCAAACAAATGTGACAATAATCCACAGAAGATTTTTGACAGCCTATCATACTGTATCAAAATATCAACCATGATAGTGACAGGTAAGTACTATGTCCTGGCAGATACACTTATTTGAACTTTTGGACGATACTTAGTACAATTAATAAATATAATATAAATAAATTGCACATAAAAGAGTATGCTACAATTACTAATTTTTTATTCGTTAGTGTCAGCGGGATGATGGTATATTAGGATGTATTCTGTTGGCACAAACGCTTGATAGTCAAAAACGGATAGATTTATTCACTGCTTGAAAAAATACCATTAATATCTTACTAAGCAATTTAACTTAATTTACAGCAAACCTTCTAAAAGAATGTAGAAAAATTTTCGGCTCTGTTTTTCCTATTCCATTACAGTGTCAAATTACTTTTTGATTTGTTCACGTTATTTGCCTAACTCGGATTATGCTGTATGCAAGCTCCATGCCGACGGCCTAAAAGGTCTATCCGATTTGAACGCAAAAATACAATTAAAAAATGGAATTGGTAAACTGGGTTGATTTGTTGATTTAACGAAAATCGGAGACTTCTTTTTTATTTGTTAAGTTTATCCAATATTGTAACTCTAGATTTCAAGACGGTAAAGTTCTTGTGGAATAAGCTCGAAATGTGCGAATTTGTAAAACAATATTCGATAATTCTTTCCAATGTAATCTATAATTTTAATAACTGAAACTCCGTTCTTATTCTTTTAACGTCCAGTGCAACGTAATGGTTACTCTGTCACCAGTGATCAGGTTAATTCACACTGATGGCAAATTTCTGAATACCTCTTCATGACATCGATCACATTTAGGACAAAACCCCGATACTACCCATTCTGTCACTCTGTACCATATGTGTTCATCATGTGCGCAACATTCGGAACTGGCCTGTGAACACTCGAGGCTCGTAAAACCTCTTCCAGATAATATTTTTAGTTCGCAGCAGTCGGGTACAGCCTGAACGACGTTTTTTGGTTCAATTATTTCTTCACACCCCAAATCGATCAGTTTTGTTTAAAGGATCCTCTCTGGGAACGTACTTAGGAGGTCTATGCTAGTTTTATCGGTAATCTTTTTTTGTCCACAGTCCTAGTGGCTTTTAGCTGGAATTGGAAACTTTCGGGAAGGTTTTTTCCGGTTTGACCTCGTCTGATAATTTACGGTATTCGTTTATTTTTCTAAGCTTTCAGTTGTTTGTGCGTAGTATGAATTGCAGCACTTTTTCTGTCGCAAAGTGTGGTATGCAAAACATATCGAATCTCTTTAAGGAAAGAACTTTGCCAATTTTGCCAGCTGTTTATATGAGACCCTAATTAGTGGCAACATAAATGTAAATAATCAACGTGAACCGGCTTTTTTCTGTTCTGGAAAATACGAACATTCTTTTTCAGTTTTCTCCATAAAAAATTGATACTTCAAGGCATGTTTGTACTCAACATGGTGTTGGTACCTTATCTGGAATACTAGAGAAGCTGCTGAAAATGTGTCTTGAAACGGTTTTTTCTATGAACATGTGTTTTACTCATTATTTGATTAGACGTATAGCTTGCTGTATTTTTTGCTGATGGTATCGAAAGCATAGAACAATTTCGTTCCATTTGGTATATCGAGCGTACTGAGAAAAGCAAAAAACTTACGGAGTGCAGCTCCTCTTCTTTGAATCGGCAGCCTTTCCACCACAAACTCCATTGTGATTCACTGTGAACGCTGTCATCAAATTCAATCATGCCCATCTCCAGTAGGGTCTGACGAAGCAAATTGGGCCCCATTCCCTGACCATTTGCGATACGAAAAATGAAGTTATTCTGTTTCTGCGATTTTTTTGCACATCCTGTGCATGTTTTCTGAGAATTGAAATGTTCAGTTTTGCGCTCAATGGGATTAAGTGTGTGCATAAACTGAGGCATTTCTGTGGAGGAAGAGAGTATGTAGTGTGCAGCAAGATTGATTGAAATTGGAATCGAAAGTAAACAGTCAACCATGGAGGGTTAGGTATAACTGGCTAATTTCGTAATGCAAGTCTACACATTCCCACTCTCATGTTCAAATGATGGCCCAAGTGAAAAAGTGCCTTGAAGTAAGAAATATTATCGCGTTAGCATTCTAATTATCAAGAGAAAAAACCTAAATTAAATGTAATCACAAGTACTCTTTTTTACCTCAGATGAAGGATAACACATAGGGTTAGTTATACTTTGCGCAAAATTAAAATTAAAATATTAAAATTGTATTCATTGGTTCAAATATACTATCAGTTTCAGACTATTTGGAGGACAGAACACCGGCATTCAACCGGAATTGGAGACCAAAACTCGAAAATTCTTAGTTAGTGGAGTTGAACTGCACATCCTTCGTTAGAATTTTATCATCAATACCATAAAAGATTTACGATTAATTGCACCCCTATACAGAGAAAATTATCAACGGAATGAAAACAGAACTGACCGTTCACTTAAATGACCTTTGCTTTCCTTTTGTCTTGGACCTCAACTCTCCTGCACCTCCGTTTCATCACACTCCGCCCCCATATTTCATACATGTCCGACTTCATTGATTGTAAACTCCACATCTAACTTTTACTTCATGCGCATCACATAATTGATGTATAGCTTCTCTGTAAAATGTCATAATATGAAATTGGACTTGACAGCTGGTTGCCACCATCAATTCTTACTTCATAGCTCTGTTTGCTCTCTCAAATTATCATATAGTTTTGATTTGAAACCTTCTTTTTTTACACAAGGATGTAAAATGGCAGTAAGAATGCCATACACTATGCAATTTGGCCCATATTCCAGTGGAATACTACAACTACCAACCATTCCATTTCGCTACTTCACACGCTAGCATTGATGATTTCAACTACGTTAGTGATGAAAAGTTTGCAAACAAATTGCCAAGCTCGGCCAGCAGGCGAAATTAAATTCAGTTCACCCCAGCTACTAGAACCAATTTTCAATACCTTCTCAACTGCAAACCATTTTTTGAAATCACATTCGTGTTTCATAATACTTTCAGAAGTCCATAGGTAGGCGGACCGCCTGTTTAATTACATCTTTTTGCACAAAAGAGATTCAGGAAAGATAAGAATAATGTTCAGCAAATAAAAAGGTACTAACCAACTCGTTGTATGTAAAAGTCGTTTGTTATGCTTTGGGTAATAGAAGATATTTTGAATTAGTATTTATTTTTGACCGCTGATCGATAAGAAAATCAAGCACACATGTGTACGGTAAGCGAAACAGGTGAATTTGTTCAATTGCTAGACGGGTTTTTAAAAGTTTTGCTCAAATATTCCTCCTCGTTTAATAAAACGTTTAAAAAGATCACAATCTGTGGAAGAATTCGTAAAAAAGGAACATAAGATACTAATCATTTTTCTAGATATTGTTAAGCAAACATTTTACATGAAGCTCCAACACGGGAAAGATATAAGAAAGTTTGTGTAAATTAAGCGTATAATATTGAATCTCAAAAGAAAAGAAGAAGATTCAATGCAAAACCTGCTTCGATCAAACAAAACATATTAAAGAGTGATTTAGTGACTGACTTGACGGAAGGCCAGGTCTAAAACTGTCAGTTTCGGTCATTACAGTAGACGACAGTACTTCATGCAAACGATCCGGGCTACTTTGTTTGCCTTTATATCAGTAACATCTGACTCTCAGTTAGCCTACAATGATCAAATTAAATAAGATTTTTAAATGCAATTTTCCACGAGGTTTGTTTTGTAATTTAGATTAGATCTATATTTTGAAATATATGATTTTAGATACTTTTTCCTTTTTAATTTTTATTCATTAGTTCGCAACAAAAATTAAACTAAGACTCTATGAATGTGGTATCCGTAGTAAAGTATTATGATTGTGTCATCGTCAGTCATATAGTTTGTTTGGGATATATCACCCTTTATACGTATATCTATCATCTTATTAAACCACAAAAATATCATCTGAAACAATGGGAGGATTTAGCTCATCATAATAACAGATTACAACGTTCAATCTTGAATTANTACAAGAAATTCAGCTCCGCTTATGTTAATATTGCCAATCGTATGCTAAGTCCACCTATGTAACCAATGCTTTATTTGATGTTCACAACATGAGCACCGGATTAGCTGATCTTCAGCTGCTGCTGCTCCTCACCGGTAGAATCAAGTATCGTAGTGGTCATTATGTTTTACTCGGATTAGATGTAATTCTGTTACGCTGCATGTTGTTAGCACAGCATGATTTCTGCTGTTCTTCTTAAACTTTACTGTCTATTCACAAAAAAAACCGAGAATCATACCGTAATTTGTATTTAGGTAGCAATAGCAATAAAAACTCTTTCAATCCAAGCAGGATGTCTTGTTGTTTATGGACCTTGTGGATATGTAACGGTATGTGGTTGATTTAATTTCAGCTCGGTTGTTTTGCTGCCACGCAAAATGATCACGCCTGGAAGATTGTAGGAGTCACTATTTTTGAAATGGGAAATGTTTGTTGAATGAACTAGAAGCAGGAAAATTTTAGCAGTATGATTCAATCCGATTGCTTCCCGTTGTGACGACGCTTCGTGATTTCCGAGTTTCTCCTTTCCTTCCCATAAAATCTAACTGTTCACTTATGCGAAAGAAAGTCGAAATAGTTTATGATTAGATATCAGTAATTAAAGCAAATGATATAAACGGAGAACAGTCGGAATAATGAGATGGACAGTTTTATTGTTAGTGTGGTTTATTTGTGAAAAATAACTCAAAAAATTATGTATTGTTTGGTTTCAAGCTTTCCAACGCAGGAAGATCGAATCTTTTCTTGGACTGTTTGCCCCCGTATCATTTTCACGTCTACTTACGCAATTATGTTCATGTACCGGAATTTCGGACAGAAAACCGACCACCTATCACTTGGACATTTTCGTGCTCACATGAATAACGCAACATTGTCCTCCCAGTAACAGATAGTGTATCTCACCTACTTCACTGCATCCAGCGCAAATATGACATCAATCAGACTTGGATCATTTGTATTGCAGGTAGCCAACTCAGTGCACCTGTTTGTAAGTGATGTGTATCACCATTGGTGACAGCTCAGATCATGGAACCCGTCTAGACTAGACTGAGCATATGTACGTGTGCACAATCATAGCAACCAAACTCGCTCTTGTATTAAGCATGGACCTGATCGATTTGACTGCATTTATTTTCTTCAATTAGGACCAATCATTCAGATTAACCCCTTTGCTTGTTTAGAATGATTTACCCGAAATTTCACTACATGCCAGATTGAATTATTGCACTTGGTGTTTATGATTTTTGTTGCTACAAGTAAAAACCGTGCGAAACTCTACTGTTTTAGTACAGTTTCTTTCTTTCTTTAGTATAGTATCTTCCGAAAATGAGGAGTTTAACGACGAAAAACATTAGTTTTGCATTAAACAATTATTTTGCAATAAGCTTGTTTCCACAGAACCGAAATTTAGAACACAACGCTTCTAGAAAAGCAAACCGTCTTCTGTTTGCGGAAGTATGTTAGAGGTCAGTTCAAAACAAGTTTATCGGGATGAAAACTTGATAACGTTTAGGAATCTGTAATGAAATGCATTTTACTTTCACCTGCACAAATCGATTTTAACTTATACAACTCCAGACACTTGTCTCAATTCACTAGTTTTTTTAGGAAAAAATAAATAAAATAATACATTCGTTGTACAAGATACTAAATATTTTAATATATTAAAATTCTTCTAACACTTATCAAACAGTTTACTATGATTTTCACTACAGAAACTATCACAATTTGACTACTCTGAGACTCCATCTTTGGGCCCATAAACAAGTTATAAAATCATCAAGTCTATTTTGACCACGTTGTCATGTCAGGTAACTTGGCCAAATTTTCCGGAATTCAAAGTCAAAGTTTTATGATGGGCATAACTTACAAGCTCCTGCTTCTCTTGTCCCCATGTGATATTTACACACATGAATCGCTAAAGGCTGAAAAAAAGTCACGTAGAGTTTCAGGTAGGAGATTATAGGGAGTATAGGTTACAGTGAATTCGCGTTTACTTTTAGTGGTGTACACATGTGAGGTGTGCCAAAGAGTCTCTGCTTAAAAGACTCAAAAGTGGGTGAACAAACGACATGAAATGAAAGGACGTTCCAAAAGCTGCATACTCTGACTGCAGAAGACTGGCGCCGGCATTCCAGTCGACACTTTGGAATCAGTAGCTTGAAACGGTGTCCCTTTAGGTGTACATTGTTCGATAACATGAGCAGCGGTCGATACGGATGGTTTGGGTTCTACAGTATTTGATACATCAAACTCAAGTCTTCCTGAGTTCGGCGGTGCTGAGCAGACTATAGTCCCAATGATCGTATTCTCTCCTCATATGTCAGGTAATACAATCCCTTGACCATCTTGGTGGCCATCCTTTGTAGAAGCTCAAGCAACTTGCGGTCACGTTGCAGCCATGGACTCCAAGCTTGGATGACTTACTCTGTGTACGGTCGAACGTACGCTGATAGTAAACGTGGGAATAATGATGATTCAAACCATCCAAAGTCTCGCCGAAGTAAGCCGACATTCTCCACAGCAGCGGACGAAGCCTTAGCGCAATTGATGGAGCAGCTTAAATCCTCTTGAACAAAAATACCGAACTCCTTTTCACTAGAATTATGTCATAGCTTCTGATCCCTGAGGAAATATGTGAAGTTCCGCTTGTGGCGTAGGGATAGGACTTTGCATTTAGAAACATTGGATTCAATGTCGTTCTCCTTAGATCATTTATAAGCTGCGTTGGGTGATTCCTGAAATGTTTGAGAGCCCTCTGGTTCTGTTACCGTGTTCCAGATTTTGGTGTCGTCTGCATACAGTATTGTTTTTGGGCCTAACACTTTTGGTAGATTATTTATGAATACGAGGAACAGACGGGGATCGAGTACGGACCCTTGTGGAACACCGCGGGTGGCTTTGATAGATCCGGATATGGAATCAGAAACACGAACTGATATGGTCCGTTGTTCGAGGAATGCTTTAATCCAATTGAATGCGAAATTTCGAACGCCATAATTGCAGCGCTTCTGCAGCAAAATTTTATGATTCACCGGATCAAATGCTTTCTAGAAGTCGAGATGAATCGCATCCTCTTCGTTGACTGTTTTGGTCCATGCATCTCGAACAAGAAGCAGGTTGATGGAGCAGGATAGCTTTGGCCTAAACTCGTGTTGAGCTGTCGAAAGAATGTTGTATTTTTCGAGGTGTTCCATCAGAGAATCTACCACAATTGACTTCATGACTTTCGATAACACCGGAAGCGGGGTTACAGGTCGGTAGTTAGCGGGATCACTACGACAGCCACCTTTGTATATGGGTGAAATGACTCTTTGTTTCCACGATTCTGGAAGTGTTGCTTGGTCGAAACTTCGTTGAAACAGAATGGCTAGCGGTTCGGACATGTGATTCACCAAAAAGATCAGAGATTTCGTGTGTATGTTGTCCGCACCTGGGGTTGCATTTTTTCGCAAAGCCATTATTTTTGCTTTGACGTTTTCAGCAGTAAGTGATACGTAGGTCAGTGAAGGATATGGAAGGTGATGCAATCGGAGAGATAGTTGTAAATCTTCAACCTGCGGTTCTGCGAAAACATTGAAATAATGAGTTTTTAGCATTTCAGCTGCTTCCATTGAAGTTGCTGCAACTCTTCCAGCGGAGCTTAGTTCCGGTATACCAAACTTTACTTTCCGAATGGACTTAACGTGCTTATACATGTGTTTGTGAAACGCTTTGGTAGGCTTGTTTTATCCTGTTGTGGTCATTATATCTCGCATACCTCTTCAACATCTGGACACCTGACTTTTCCAGTCTGCCAATAATCATCAGCTATGATTCCTCACAAAAAATAGCTTCCAAACCCTTTCCACCGCTATTCTATCCCAAAGTGGACGTTTTCTTGTTCATCTTGCTTTGTTTCGAAAACCGATTAAACACTGTATGTTATCTGTACATATACGTGAGCATCCTTTTGCAATATCACCTTTGATGAATCTGATAAAGGTTGATAAAATCAACAAATAATATCATGGTATGACAGTCCATTCCTCCCCTCTTTCCCGCCGTCGTTTGATCGCGTATCTCAAAAATGAAAGGTGATGTAGCGATATTACTGTTTCTCAACTGGTTCTTTACTGTAGATGATTGTATTTTTTAAATGGTATTGGTGAATGATCACATAATAATAATAATCGGTATTGTTGTTGTTTATACTTCTTTTTTATTTATTGAGTATACAAATGTATGGTCTGCATTCAGGAAGAGAGCTACGGTCATACAAAGACTTTCAGGATAAATACACAAGTGTGGAGGATTTTGACCAATTAATGCAATCAGCGGCTTATACACGCGACTGTTGTCAGAAAAGTTTGAGATCGACCCGGTTATGGAGGTTATGCGACCGTGTATCCAGTTTGGTATTGCACTCTGTTTGTCTCTAGCTCGTAATTCAGATTACATCCTAGTCAATGCAGAACACTGTATTTTTTCATTTAATTCATTCTTCAGTTTTCTCAATCACATTCAGATGAAACCAAATTTGGAATGAGTAGATTTTGCGTCCAACGGGCTTGTGCAAATTCTGATCGTTCTGTAGGTGATTTTTTTCCAGTCAGCCGCATAATTACTTCGAACAGTAGTTAAAGTGAAACGTCCGTAAACAATAATGCTAACCTAATCTTCTTTGAATTGAAGAGAAATTATTATTCGTTTTCTAGATAATGGGGGAGCACATGGTTTATTTTTTATTGTTCTCACTATCAATTTTCTACGATCGGCAGTAGACTGTTCCCATGCTCAACGGTAATTATAACTATATATTGCTGTCGCTGCAGCTAATTATTTGAATATTGGGTCAACTTTCCATTCCCCATTCTTGACATCTCATCCATGTCCCGAAGCTGGAGTTTTCCGCATTTTATATTCGTCTTTTTTCACTCCGATATTCATTCATTCACTCCTTAATCTCTGTCTCCACTTTAAAGCGTCATGGTAATGTCAGCCTCATGTAGCTGCGATCGTTGTTGTGTATAATTTCGTGTTGCATATCTGACCCATTCCTCTTGTTATGCACGTGGTTGCGTGCGTTTTAGTGGACAGCTGTGACAGCTTAACATCGATCTCACACGCGCGTGCGCGCATTTAATGTCGTAGTCCCCTTTTGCACACACACACACACACCACAGTGTGCGTGTATACGTGCAACTTAGACATCACCTGCACCGGTCGATTCGATGTACTACGATTGACTTTCTTCTGGTCGTCATGGCTACATCTGATCTGGTCTGTGCGTAGTGTGCGCGCGTCCATACACGGACGCACGCATTCGTGCTCTGTGATGTGAGGTGAGTGTGTTAGTGGGCCAGCAGCAGGCAACTACCTCTATCGGAGAATGGACTACCCAGATTCGACTCCGTGATACATTCGATCCAGCTGCATTCCAACGAAGCAGCGTGTGTGTGTGTATCTCTTCCGTGAAACTGTGGTTATGGTGTTTTTGACCATTCAACTGTTCCGAGATTATGAGAAGTTGCCTTAATGTGCCGGGACCTGAAGAACCATGATACATAATAGCACTTTCCGTTTCGTGACCTCTGGTGCCTGACAAATCGGAATAGTAGATGAGGTTGATCAATACCTGAGTGCAATATGACCATAAAGTACAACAACTTTTATCATTTGTGTTGCCTTTTATGTTAATCAAGATTCGTTTTGTGACTTGAGCGCACAGATTGTACCTTCAGTATGATTGGTTATTCCCAAATACTTATAGATTGGTTGATATGTGCTTGTTGTCCTGGTATAACAGTAATGAAGAGTTTCCACATACCTTCTAGCATGAAAAATATCCCGTAAAAATGACCGCAAACCGTCCATAATCCGATTCGTCCAAACTTGTTTTTAGTGAACGCAACCAAATGATGCACAATTCCGGTTTGATAGATGCATTTTCAGTAGGCCCATGAAATGTTCAGTCTTTGTGCATTACTAGATATGTTTTCGCTCGCTATCTTGGTAGCCTGAAGATGGTTGTCTGGGGACGCGACTAGCCGCATTTCCTATGTACAGTACGATTACCCCATCGTTTCACATTGTCTTGACCGTCTCACTCGTAACCTTAAACAAGTAAATTCCCTCTGACCCTTTTTGTGATTTGCGGCACTTGGAATCCCTCACTCCAACACGACACTGTCTGATTACCGGCTCGTATGTTTTGTAATGCCCTTGTTATCACGTCCGGTCCATCCGTGTGCCGATAGCACTACTGTACAGTCGAAGTTCACTGGACGAATCACTTCTTCAAGACAGGGCAGCGTAAATAGCCTCGACTGGCAAGTTCTACTCCCTGCATTTACGTGGATGTGTTTCCTGTCAAAGCCTTAGATATATTTATATTTTCACACACGTCTAAATCTAGACTGTGTGCCAAACAAATCGTGGTACAACAATCTTTATAAAAAAAGAAAAACGTTCCATTATCTGCGTATGGGCGGAATACTGCCAGGTTGCCCAGGCCAAGGCAGATGAATTTTCTCGAGGAATTCAAACCCGGAACTTTCGGTTAACCAAAGCCTGACTCGCAAGGCAGCGTGGCCGTGTGCGAAAAC